ATTGGGTTGTCTTTTTTAACATTTTTATTAATTTATAAAATTGCAATTGTTTCTTATATCTTCTAGATATAAATCCTTTATCAAATGTATGATTCCCCAAAATTATCTCCCATTCTGTAGGTTGCCTTTTCACTTTGTTGATGGTGTCCTTTGAAGCACTAGGGCTTATAATTTTGATGACACATCAGCTATTTTTGCTTTGATTGTATGTGCTTTTGTTATAGCCAAAAGATCATTTCCTAAATCAGGTCACAAAGATTTATACCTTTGTTTTCTTCTAAAGGTTTTTCTTAACTCTTATATTTACATCTTTGATCTATTTGAGTTAATTTCTGTATGTAGGTAAGATAAGGGTTCCAACTTCATTCTCTTGCATGTGATTTTTGTATAGTAGTCTTTATGCTGCAACCTTGCTGAACTTTTTATTAGACTTAATAATTTGTTAATGAATTATTTAACACTTCTATATACACCATCATGATGTCTACAAATATAGTTTTACATTAAAAAAATAATCTAGTTTTAATGGAAATACAAGCAAAAATAAAGAGTACAGTTTTTAGTTTAGAATAATAATTCCCAAATACATTTTGTGGAACACAGGTTCTTGGGATGCAATTACCTCCTAAAAGCTTTTTGTTGCAAAAGAAGTTTGGGAAATACTGCACTAAACAAAATTAAATTAGGTTTGCACACCCTCTCTAGGAGTGGTTAATATGTCCCTGTGCACTGCAAATCTCCCTGAGCACTGCAAATCTCCCTGAGCAAGCAGTATAATGTATAATTTTTCCTACACTTGACCAGGAGAAACCTTTAGAACACTATTCCTAGAGTCATGTGCGTGACACATTTTGTGAAATTCGAATGGACAGCACTAAACTATTTACTAAGCACTTGTGACCATGCCCTTTACTAGAAGCTCTGGATGGACAATGAACTTCAAGAGAGTAACACTTAACAAAATAATCATGGTAGTGAATGCTTCTGATAATGAATCAGATGTTCAATAAGAAAAGAGCATTAGTCACTAAGATCATAAAGGTTCATACAAAATAGTTCTTACTGAAATAAAAATCTGGTACCTTAAATCTAAATATTTATGTGAGGAGGCAAAACAAAAATATTTACACGTTGGAGAGATACATTTCAGCTCTTAAAATGTCTCCAGCAAGCTAGCTGAGTGCTTGGCAGTTCATCTGCAACCTGGCATAAACCCAAAATTTAAAAGAAAAAAAATAGTTTTTAACATTCAGTGCTAGTGGTATTTTTTTTAAGCTCTGATTAAAATGGTGTTGGAAAGGTATACTTTAAAAGACAGTTTCTGAGAACCAGATAATATTAAAATTATATTAAGCCTTTGGGTAGGTAACATGAGTACAGAATGCAAGATTTAGGCTATAATCTTAAAGGTCAAAAGAGAATTTGATTGGGGGCACCTGGGTGGCTCAGTCACTTGAGCTTCTGACTCTTGGTTTCCGCTCAGGTCATGATCTAGGGCGGTGAGGTCTGGCGATTGCCAGCAGGGGTGGTGGGCAGAGGGGCCATTGGCCTCCTGTGCTCACTGGGGAACGCATTCCGAGATTCTCCTCCTCTGCCCCTCCCCTCACTCACACATCGCCCCCCCCCCAAATAAATCAATAAATCTTTCTTAAAAATAATAATTTGATCAAAGACCACCAAAAAGATAGAGTCCATTCAGACATATTGTTGAGATAAGGTAAATAAGGTGATCCTACCACCATCACTTTACCCCACACATACATGTAGATTTTTCCTAATCAGTAGCTTACACTTTTTTCTCAAGATTACCTTTAAAAAATCTTTTTATTCCACATCCTCAAGGTACACCCCACCTCAGCCCCCCCCCCCATACACACAGAGTCACACACTTCCCCAAACTTTTGAACTTTCTCTTTTGAAGTACAAGAGTCTGCATACCAAAAAAAGGCAGGGGGTGGGGAGGGGAGAGGCGAGGCCAGAGGTGGGGATAATTTCACCAAGACCAGAAAGACTTGGAAGGCCATCCAGCAAGGCAAGGAGGGCTCTGAATTAAAGGTTTGCGGGGAGGACAAGCGAATCCAGGACAAGCGTCTCCCCCACTAATGGCAATAATTAAGTCATCACACCCCCTCTGGTCTCCCCAGCCAGGAGGCCACGGCCCTTTCCACTGCCCTGGGGCTGATTCCTGCCCCCCGGGGGCTCCCAGCCAGACTCCCTGGAGGTGGGGGCCGGGGTAGCAGAGGATCCTGCCCACCGCCGAGCTATGCAGTCCTCCAGGAGGCTCCCAACTGCGGCCTTCGTGGGGATGTGGCTGCCCGGGCCTCAGATCCAAGGGGACTCACCCAGGTTCTCAAGGGCGCAGCCTGGAGGCTGGTTGCTAAGGACGCTGTGTGAGTCATTCTCAGAGTCCCGAAGGTTGCTCCGTGAGCCCCAGGGCTTGGCCAATCAGGACCCTTGAATCCAAGTCCACGTTCTCTCCCCTCTTTCATTACGTTTGTGTTCAGCTTCTGAGGAATAGATGCGATGATGTGTGAAAGGCCTTTATTAGCTTTTAAATGCAATCACAAAGCGTTCAGTTAGGATTCACTGTAAACACTGCCCTTGCTTTGCGTATGCAGCCAGGAGCTCCAGCAAGAAGAGGCCTGGGGGTGCGTTAGTGGCTCCTCAACCTCTAAAGGCTTCCTCCAAAACCTTGCCTGCCCCCACCTCCATCTAAAGTTTAAAAATAAAGGCAACATGATTCAACACAATTGCTATATAGGGGAGCTATGTCTTCTCATCAAATTGCTGTCTCTAAGCTCCATCTACACCTGCCAATGTCCTCTGCATTTAGGAGAGTGGGTAAACAAAGATGTTCTGTATGCACTAAGCACAAGAGGGCAAATTTAAACACAAAAGAATGCCTTCTTTTAAAAAATAGGATGCAATAAAATTAATTTAAATCCTTATAATATTCCTATCTACCATTGGGCGAGGAACTTCAAATATTCTATGAATGTTCACAAATATTTCAATGGAAACACATGGAAAAATAGAAACAATATGGAAGAGCAATTCTGATTAAATTCAAAGCTAATGTGCAGGTATTATCCTGGTGAAATAACTGCTTTAAAAATTTGAGAACTTCAAAAGAGAATTTAACTAATGGAAACGTGAAATACATCCATCTTGAATTATTTCTGTTCATAATAAGCACCAAATAAGTCTTCCCATTTTTTTCAGTACATTTTGATATTTAAAACAGAAATTATTGGCCCAAAGCCACAGAACGTATAACACCAAGAGTGAACTTTATTTATTTATTTTTAAAGATTTTATTTATTTATTCATGAGACACACACACAGAGAGAGAGAGAGAGAGAGAGAGAGAGAGGCAGAGACACAGGCAGACGGAGAAGCAGGCTCCATGCAGGGAACCTCACCTGGGACTCTATCCTTGGTCTCTAGGATCATGCCAGGGGCCAAAGGCGGTGCTAAACTGCTGAGCCACCCGGGCTGCCCAAGAGTGAACTTTAATATAAACTACAGACTCTGGGTGATTATGATGTGTTAGTGGAAGTCCATCAACTGTAACAAATTACTATTCTGGTTGAGGATGTTGATAATGAGGCTATGCATGTGTGGGGCCAGGGAGTGTATGGGAGATCTCTGTACCTTCCTCTTAATTTTGCTGTGAACCTAAAACTGTTCTAAAAATAATAATACTCTTTAAAAAAAATAGCTAATTCTAAAAAATGATAAAATTTAAAAAAGCAGAAATTACAATATCAGATCCCAGGTTTTTCTGAAACACATTCTTCCTAGATCAGTAAGTTGAGAGTAAGAATAAAAGTGAAATTGATGAACACTATAAAAGATATATCTTAGAAAGCAAATCTTAGAGTGCCAACCCACTTAGAATGAGTTCCAAAAAGAGAGAACAAAGATATAAATAATAATAAAGAATAGCTGGGGGAAAACCTCTTTGATCAAAAAAATACATATATTTGAGACAGAAAATCAAGAGTGCTTACCCTATTCCAGCCATAGCAACATTTTTGTAGATATGTGACAAGGAAACAAAAGCAACATAAACTGTTGGGACTTCATCAAAATAAAAATCTGCACAGTAAAGGAAACAATCAATAAAACTAAAAGACAACCTGCTGAATGGGAGAAGATATATCCAAATGACATATCCAATAAAGGGTTAGTATCAAAACATTCAAAAAACAAACAATCCAATTAAAAATGACAAAAGATATGAACAGGCATTTCTCCAAAGACATCTGGATGACCAACAGACACATGAAAAGATGCTCAACATCATTCATCATCAAGAAAATGCAAATCAAAACCACCATGAGATATCACCTCAACACCTGTCAGAGTGGCTAAAATCAAGAACATAAGAAATAAGTAGCGTTGGCAAGGATGGGGAGAAAAAGCAACCCTTGTGCACTATCAGTGGGAACACAAATCGGTATAGCCAATGTGGGAAACAGTATGGAGTTTCCTCAAACTATCAAGCATTACATTACCCTATGATCCAGTAATTCCACTACTGGTTATATTTACCCAAAGAATATGCAAACACCAATTTGAAAAGATATATGTACTCCTGTTTATTGCAGCAGTATTTACAACAGCCCAAATATGGAAGTAGACCAAGTGTCCATCAATAAATGGATGGACAAAGAAGGTGTGATACGTATATCATTATTTTTATATAATGGAATATTACTCAGCCATAAAAAAGAATGACATCTTGCCAGATGCAACAATATAGATGGATCTAGAGCATATAATGTAGTGAAATATGCCAGTCAGAGAAAGACAAATACCATGTGATTTCACTCATACATGGCATTTAAGAAACAAAACAAATAAGCAAAGGAGAAAAGAGACAAAAAAATAGTAGACTCTTAAATAATAGAGAATAAACTGATGGTTACCAGAGGGGAGGTGGATGGGGGGATGGGTGTAATAAGAAAAAAAAAAGGAGTGCTTACCATATTCCAAATAAAATTAATATGGGAAGACTGCCGTACTCAAACATAGCTTGGTGGATTTTTTTTTATACTTCCTGAGATCTAGGAAAAATACGAGAAGTATTAAAAATACAAACTGTTAAATGGATTATTCATGATAAAATTTTGGATTAAAAACTCTTCAAATTTAAAAATCAGTTGATTCTGCAGAGCATGCATAGTTAGTCATGAATTCTACAGGGAGGACAGCTAAAGGACATGTTTATATAAGGGAGAATCCACAAATTCTTCTCCTACTCCTCCTACACTTTAAGGTGAAACTACTAAAACACTCAAAGAAGGCATCACTTAGACATTAATCAAAAATGCAAAAGTTGTGACTGGAAAGAACTGACGTTGAGCTCTGAGATCAGATATACTAAATGATTAATGTTCCTTTGGTCACAAAATGAAATGACAAAAAAATTTTAAAGAGATATGTTTATAGCTTTTGTAATCCAAATAAAAATACAGAAGTGTGAGAAAAAAGTGGGGACAGTTCTCAATTTTCATAAAGAATTGTAAAACAAAGATATTACACTATTGTTAGGTGGAGGAATTCAGTTAGATTTTCAATTCATACCATACACTAAAAGATGGATCTCAAAAAATACAAGTATTTAACATGTTTTTGGAAGCGAACACTTGGTGGCATAAATATAGACCTCAGCAAATAGAAAAGCATGCATCACAAAAGGAAATATTTCATAGAATATTAAAAAAGGAGTCTAACCTCTTAGAGTTACCATATAAATTTATGTGAGTACACCTCAAATCCAAAGCATGCGTTTTTGTGTTTTAAAAGAATAGGAGTGGGATCCCTGGGTGGCGCAGCGGTTTAGCGCCTGCCTTTGGCCCAGGGTGCGATCCTGGAGACCAGGGATTGAATCCCACGTTGGGCTCCCGGTGCATGGATCCTGCTTCTCCCTCTGCCTATGTCTCTGCCTCTCTCTCTCTCTGTGTGTGTGTGACTATCATAAATAAATAAAAATTTTAAAAAAAGTTCATTTGGAAGAATAATGGGAATTAGTCAAGAAAATTATGAAAAGAGAAGCAAGGATACAAGGGTATGGCTTACTACATATTAAAACTTATAGTGAAAACTTTTTCTTGGTCCACATAAATATTTGAAATAAATATTTTCATTATCTTCAAATTCCATCCTTGAGAAAATATACAGCTGCATCATAGTACCTAACAAAGGGACTTGTCCATAGTAGCGCTTAAGAATATTGCCGGGTGAATTCCTACATAAAAATGCAGATGATTTTGTTTGGCCTGGTGAGCTAAATTCATTCCATGTATGAATTTCTGGGTAAAATATCAGTATAAATGAATGATCTGCTTCTTTTGTACTTTTGTTTAGCAGGTCGAATCATTTTGTGCCGATTCTTGAAACCCATCAAAATATCTGCTATTCTTCGTTTGTATTTCAACTTAAATCTAACTGAATAGCGACTGGACTTTTAAAAATACTTACTAAACTATTTTGTGATTATAAATATTTCCATCATATAATTCTTTCCAATGCAATCTAATCAATCCTTCAAACCTATTTACTAAGGGAAAAAGTAAAAAAAAAAAAATCCATATCTTTCTATGAATAATATAAATTTTGTGAAGTTTTTCCTGATTTTTAATTTTTGATGCTTTCAACATCCTCTAGCCATTCATTGCTGTGTAGTAGTTTAATAACTGTAGTTCTTTGAAAACATGAACACGAGTTGCTCGATCATCCATCCTGCAGAAGATGGAGCCAGATTCTTTCCACTGGAGTGTGGAGCTGGGTTTAGTAACTCACTTCTAGAGACCTGAATGTAAAGGTAGTAAGGAGGTGGACTTACATCATAAAGACAATGTAGAGTCCTCCTTGCTGTGTCTCTCACCATGTGCCCAGGGAGGATGAGCCAGAGATCTGTGGAGAGAGGGGCCTGGGTCTCCGGATTTGGGCCCAGGTTGATAGGCAGGGCTGTGAGAGCAAGCCCTGGAGTCAGGCTCTGCGCTGGGCGTGGAGCCCGCTTAAGATCCACCCCCTGCTCCTCTGCCCGCCTCCCCACAACCTCCCCTCCTAAGCTAAAAAAAAAAAAAAAAAAAAAAACCAGAAAAACAACAACAACAACAACAACAACAAAAACAGTCCTATGGGGATCTCCAGGTGGCAAGAAACTAAGACTTCCTGACAGCAAACCAGCAATAAAGGGAGGCACTCTCTCCACCATTAGCTGAGGGAGATATTGGATCTTGGAAGTGAATCCTCTGGCCCAGTCAAACCCAGTTAGGCCTGAAATAGCTGCACCTCCAAGTCTGGACAGCAGCTTCCTGAGCCCTGGGTCCTTCAGGGATGCCTGATCCTGCGAGGGTAGCACACCCCACATATGCCGTGTTCTTAGGACAAAGTTTCATATATAAATTAGGCGCAGCAAGAGATTAGCAGCAATAATTAATAATAAAATTAAACAATTATGACAATAGGCCATAATAAAAGCTTTCTGAATGTGAACTCTCTCAAAATATCCTACTGTCCGGTACCCACCCTTCTTGTTGTGAAGATGCAAGATGAGAAAATGCCCTGATGCTGCAATCCAGTGAGACAAGGGACACAGGCCTTGTGACAGCGTCAGGCTTCTGCTGCTCTTCTCACTGCACTTTGGGAGGGCCACCTGCTTCCTGCCTGCAGTTTGCTGTGGGAGACTGAAAAGCCCAGGAAACCGAAAACCTGGGAAAGAAAAACAACACTGTTTTGCTGTGTCTCGCCCAATTTTATTAAATATATACGTGTCATTATTTGACATTGCCTTATATGTTTGTTTCATCATTTGACATGATATTGTTATCTGTTATCTCCCAACTGGAACGTGAGTTCCAATGATGCAAAGACTTTGGCTTATTATTCTAAACTTCATTGCTCAGAACGGTAACTGTACACAGAATAGGTGCCCAATAAATACACTTTGCTTAAAAAAAACAGATGGATGAATCATTTTAATAATTAATGGATGACTAATATTTAGTATCCTGACAATTTTTCTTGCTATGAGCAGTTATATCATGAACATGTGCACAAGTAAACATATAGTAAACCCTATTGTTGTTTCCTAAGATTGAAGAGTCAAAAGAGCATCATTTTCATGGCTTTTTAGACTATTGTCAAACAGCCCTCCAGAAAGAGTTGTTATATTTTATGCCACTCCATGAATCACAGCTACTTTCTTCTCACATTGCATGACAAGGTGTATTTTCCCTTTTACACATTGTCCTTTAAATGGGGGAAAGATAGTCATTCACCTTTCCTTTCCTCAATCACCGGAGGGCAGACATTTCTTCATAGAATTATTACGCACTTGTGTTTCTTTCTTTATGACTTGCCTCTTCATGGTCTTTGCTTATATTTCAACCGATACACCCTTACTCGTAGCTAAGAGCTTTTCTTCAATAAAGTGACTTATCGTCTTTATCGTGTTAAAACATAATCTTCCCCAGTTTGTGTTTTTTCTTTCAATGGTGGTTACTATGTTTTTCCTTTTTTAATTTGCATAGAGAATTGTATACGCTCAACTTGATTAGTCCTTCCCTATGTGGTTTTGGACCTTGCTGTCATTCTTAGAAAGTTTGTCAATTGACTGAAAAATAATCACCTACTATTTTCTCCCAATATTCAATCTTTCCAAAAATAAAGGAAAAAAATATATATATCGTAGCTAGAATTTCTGTGGGGTGAGCTGTGAAGGGGGCTGTTCTTGCTCCCTCCCCTCAACAGGCTGCCCAGCTCTCCTTCTACTCCTGTATCCTTTCTTCATTGATATGGGATGCGAAATTGTGAAATGTTATTTTTTTTATTTTTTATTTGTTTTTTGTGAAATGTTATTTTTATTAAAAGTGCACGCACACACACACACACAGCTGTCTTTTCCTCCTTCTCCTTTTAAAAGTTTTGGACCTGGGCCTGTGGCATCTTTAATTCAATCGTTTGTAAGGAACAGAGATACACTTTGCCTCACCAGGGGACACAACTGGTTAGAAGTGAGTCGCCCAGTAGTTCGGTCTGGGCTCCTGCGCTCCTGGGCAGCCCTGGGCGCGCCTCGCCCCAGAGCCAGGCCGTCTAGCAGCCCAGGCGGTGGAGGCACCACCTGCAGGAAAGGGTGGCGTCGGGGTAGTGGGGGGTTTCGCTCACAGGGCCTCCCAGTTGTCCCCCGCGGGCCTCGATTTTCAACAGGATCATTGGGCTTTACATACACGGACTGATTTAGATGCACCCGGAAAAAACGAAAGAAACCCGTTTACAACTGTATTGTGGCCTTCGGGAAGCAACATGCCCGACTCCCCAGTCCAGCGAGCAGTTTGTGCCGGGGGAGCGGACGGGGAAGGGGTTCCCTCCACCTAGGCCTCGACGGCCACCCTGCGCGCAGGACGCGGGGCGGGGCTGCACGGAGGCCAACAGCCCGCAACGCTAACGCCTGCGCGCTCCTGCACGCCCCCTGCAAGCTCCCTGGGAGCCCGCAGCGCACCACCCCCCGGGCGCTCCCTGAGCTCCCTGCGAACTCCCCGCGCGCCCCCTGCACGCCTCCTGCGCACTCCCTGAGAGCACCCTGCATGCCCCCTGCGAACTCGCTGCGCGCCCCCTGAGCCCCTTGCCTGCTCCCTGCACGCCCCTCGCGCGACCCCTGCACGCCCCCTGCGAACTCCCCTGCATGCCCCCTGCGCGCTCCCTGAGCCCCCTGCGCGCTCCCTGCACGCCCCTCGCGCGCCCCCTGCGAATTCGCTGCGCGCCCCCTGAGCCCCCGCCTGCTCCCTGCACGCCCCTCGCGCGCCCCCTGCGCGTCCCCTGCACGCCCCTGCGAACTCCCCTGCACGCCCCCTGCGCGCTCCCTGAGCCCCCTGCGCGCTCCCTGCAGCCCCCTGCGCGCCCCCTGCGCGCCCCCTGCACGCCCCCTGCGAACTCCCTGCGCGCCCCGAGAGCTACCCGCGCACCTCCTGCGCCCTCCCCGCGCGCCCCCTGCGCGCTCCCCGTGTGGGCGTCGGCGGCCGGGCCGGCCCGGAGTCAGCGGCACCGGCGCGTCCCGTGCCTCCGCGGACCGTGCGCAGCCTGCTTCCAGGCGGCCCGGGCCTCCGGCAGCTCGTCGGCACCCGCCTCCCAGGCCCGCGGCCCCTCCGCCGCCCCCCGCGAGCCGCCCCCGCGAGCCGCCCCCGCCTGGCGGCTCCGCCCTAAGCTCCCGCCGCGTCTCCCTGGCAACCCCGTCCCGCGAGCGCCGGAAGACGCTGCGGTCACGTGGCCGGCGCACTTCCGGGTGGGCACCGTGACTTCCGGTTGTCAGATTTCCCCGGACGCGGCGCGGCGCGGTGTGGCCCGAGGTCGCGGCGGCCCCAGCGGAGGCTCGGGGGGCCGTCACCCTGCCGGCTCGCGATGCACCCGCGGCGCCCGGATGGCTTCGACGGCTTGGGCTACCGGGGCGGGGCCCGGGACGAGCAGGCTGTGGGCGGCGCCTTCCCCGCGCGGCCGTTCGGCTCGGCGTCCGACCCGACCCACTGGGTGACCAGCCCCCCGGACATCCCCGGGAGCCGCAACCTGCACTGGGCCGACCGGAGCCCGCCCTACGGCGCGCCCGGGCCCTCCACGCCGCTCGACGGCCCCGAACAGCCGTGTCCCGGAGGCGGCGGCGGCGGCGGGGCGCCAGGGCGGAGCAGCGGTGAGGGCCGCGCGGGGGGGGGGAGGGGAAGCAGCGGTGAGGGCCGCGGAGGGGGGGAGGGGGGCTTGGGGGGAGCCCGGCTCGCAGCCTGCACACCGCGGCCGGGCGCCGACGGTCGGTCCCGCCCCCCACGCCCTCTGCCCCCGTCCGTCCGTCCGTCCCCTCCTGTGTCCCCTCCTGTCCCCGCCCACTCCCTCCCGTCCCCTCCCCCTCCAGTTCGCCCTCATCCCCTCCGGTCCTTTCGCTCCGTCCCCTCATCCCCCTCCATCCCCCCGTCCCTCTCCCGTCCCCTTTCCCGACCCTCCCCTTTCCCCCTCCGCCCCCTTCTCGTCCCCCCTCCGTCCCCTGTCCCCTCTCCCTCTCTCATCCCCTCCCGTTCCCCCTCTTGTCCCTCCCCCCATCTCCCCTCCCATCTCCTGTGCCCCCTCCCCCGCCCCTCCGTCCCTCTGTCCCCCTCCCGTCTACCCTCCTCTGCCCCCCCTCCGTCCGCCCTTCCGTGGTCCCTTCCCTGCCGCGCCGCTTCCTCCCCGCCCCACCCACAGCCCTCTCCTCCGGGGTGCTGTCTGGGAGGCTGGTGGTGGGAGGTCCCCGGGCCTCCATCCGGAGGGAGGAGATCGGGCTACCTGCTGCTTCCTGGGGAACGTGAGCGATACCTGGTTCCCTGCGCTCCGCTGCCTTGACCTGCTGCCGAGCAGCATCTGTGCTTCTGTGCTGGAGAGTCAGCCTCGGCAGCCCTGCTGCGAGCCCGGCTCTGCCTCCCTGGGAAGCGGAGGCCTTTTCTTGGCGTCTGGAGCCCTTAAGGTGGAGAGAAGAGTCATTCACAGCGCCAGGTGCTCATGAGCTGTGGTGGAGGCTTAGTAAGCCGGACCTACCCGGTTCCTTCCTTTTCTCTTAGTCTTAGCAATTGTGTCTGTTTCCTAGACTCTCACACGCCCCCTCCGTGTTCCATTCCCCTGCTTTCCTATTTCTCACCTAGAAACACCACCAAAGAGTAAACAATTTCAAGACTTTGGAATCAAGGCGTAGTTATTCGCCCTGGGACGTCAGGAGGCCTGGGTTTTCATTGCAACGCTGTCGTCTAAACACTCTCAACTTTTTAAAATTCATAAAATGGAAATAATCACTGCCTCTTCCCATTTTGAAGTCATTAGACTCGACCATTCAATATTAAGTATATTCTAGACATGTTCGTTCTTCATTTTAACTTGGAAGTACGGTGATTTTTATTTGATTTGAGTCAACTCGGAGGCATAGACTAAATATCACATAGGAGCAAACGAGGATGTGGAAGACGATGCGGAACTTAGTGTCAGACACTTTGCTTTTCCGCCCTGTCTGCTTTTCTTTCTGTAAGGTTCCAAAAGGAGTCCTGGAAAGTTATTAAATAATTCAAAATGCTCGTGCACACAGTTACTTTCTTAGGCAGCCAAGCTGATTTTTATCTTTTTATGATTTACACGGTTAAAATGAGGCATTTTCTGTTAATACTATGATCTGTACACTCAAAAAGGGAAAAGCTGAAAGGGGGAAAGCATGTTAATTGACAGAAGAAGCTTCTATCTGGCCTCTGCATTTTCCAAAGCAAGAGTTAACAAAATAGTTTTCCCAGACACCAGTTTACATGGCCATATTCTGACCGTAAGGAAATAGCATATGGTATTATGATATAAATACTGTATTATAGTAGAAATTTATAATGTCTGGTCCCCCAAGGTTGCGGTATTTCACGATCACAATTTTGAGATTTTTAGCCAAGGAGAAACTTTGTGTGTTTTGACAGATGATAGAAATGTTTCCAGCTATAAACTCCCCTAATCAGACAGTAGAAATGCCATCGGCACTAACACCTGGCCTCTCCAGGTGTTAGAGATCCAACTAAGCGGTTATTCTCAAAATATTTAAAACATTTGAGACAGAGGAAGAGAGCCTTATTCAACCATTTTGATTACCCTAAGTACTCCTTCCATTTAATAATTTTGAGGTGTCTTGCTTGCGACCGTCAGTTAACATAGATGCTTTCCACCAAAACAGCAAATGACTAACTTTACAAGACGGGAGGTCAAGTTGTTAGTATAGGACAGTCAGAGCCTTCTATAGAAAGAAATATAAATTGTAGTTAGAAGTTGAAAACTGGTAATCCTTAGGTTCTAGTTGCAGACATGTTTGATTTGGCTCACACAGTGTTTGAATACTTTTTAAAATAGTTCCAGTATTTTAGAATTGGAAGATATTATGTAAAAATGACTTATCTTTTTAGAAAAATAACAGTTTAGAAATCTTGGGCCTGCAGTCCCACATGTCGACCATGAATTGGAGCTGGAGAGCAGCTCTGCCTTGCAACTTCCCGCAACTTCCCTGGCCTGTATGAGAATTTAACTTTGGGACCTGGAACTTAAATAAATACTGTGTTAATTAAAGGAAAAAAATGTTTTACAGTGAACCTCAATATTGGTTATGAGTAATCTTATTTCTTCTGTTTTAGAGCAGTTGAATAGATTTGCTGGATTTGGTATTGGCCTTGCAAGGTAACGTTTTTTTTCTAAAGATTTTTAATTTAATGTGTTTTATTCAAAATGTTTTAAAGTAAAATATTAAATGATTAATATTGCTTCCTTTAGATTTGAGTCTTTGGAGTAGTAGATTAAATGTCAAATAATATTTTGTAGAAAAACTTATCTAAAATTTATAACTTGATTTTTTTCAAGTACAGATAGAGAATAGTCATTCAATTTTATGATCACAAAATAATTTTGTTAAGTCATACTATACGACTTTCATGTGTCTATCCAAAAAATCTGATCTAATCTTGTCTTCCAAGAGAAAGTAGTTGTGCATTGAATCTTTTCCTAAACATTCTAAATATTATATTTAGCAACATAGAGTCTAGGTTTCGCTTTACGATCAGCATCTAATGAAGTTATTTTTTTAAATTATTTTTAATGATCATTCTGTGGAAGAAAAACCTCCTATCTTGATTATGTGATCTCTAGTGAATATTATTTCTAATGCATCAGATTTGCACAAAAGGTTACACTGCATGCCAGGGTAACTCATTGTTTTAAAATTATAATCAAGAAAAAATTATCTTATTTGCATAATTAAACCTGAGAGTATTAATGTAAATAAGAACAAAATTGTGTATTAAAGTTTTCCTTCTGCTAGAATTAATTTTTCTTTAGCCTCACTGTTTATACATAAAACTGTTGTTCACTTGATGTATTATTTATGTACATGGATGTGCGCACGCACGTGCGCATGGCTGTGCATCTGTCGCTGTCAGTATGTAAGCCCACAGCTGTAATTATTTTGTAGGGAATGCTTTTAGAAGTATCTGATACCCAAAGTAGTAGCCAATTAGCAGTCATTAAAATCCCTATAACTTAAATGCAGTGTACACCAAAACTAAAACTTATAGAAGGGGGTTTATGAAAAATAGATGACTTTTCTGATGGGAACTTTGTTCATAGGACATCTTCTAAAATAAATGGAAAGGAGCGTTTAAGTTGTCTAGGAAAGGAGTTTCCCATATCAGACAGATGGAGATGTAATTTCATCTTTAGACTATATATTCTACTGTTTTATTTTATTTCCCCTGCTTACTATATTTGCATTTCTGGCATTCTTTTCATATTGAATTTTGTTATTGGTAGAATGATTTGCAAACACATCTAGACTTTTTTTTTTTTACTTTTAGAATAGGAAACAATAATGCGTGATTCTTCAAGAGTAATTTTAGATATATATATAATTGTAATTTAAGGTTTGGTTATTTTTTATATATACACACAAAAAAACTATAAAAATTATTTCATACGTGTTTTTTACATATATATAAATTATTCTTTTATAGTCTCTTTACTGAAAATGTACTGGCCCATCCTTGCATTGTTCTACGCCGCCAATGTCAGGTAAATGTACTTTTCTGTGATCTTCTAAACCATGACCCTGACTCTGATTTAAAAGACAACTCAGGGAGATCCCTGGGTGGCGCAGCGGTTTGGCGCCTGCCTTTGGCCCAGGGCGCGATCCTGGGGCCCCGGGATCGAATCCCACGTCGGGCTCCCGGTGCATGGAGCCTGCTTCTCTCTCTGCCTGTGTCTCTGCCTCTCTCTCTCTCTCTCTCTCTGTGTGACTATCATAAATAAATAAAAATTAAAAAAAAATAAAAAAATAAAAATAAATAAAAGACAACTCAGATAAATGGCTAAAACTATGTAACCATTAGTCCTTGTGAAATTTACCAGAATCTACAATATGTCAGTCTCAAACTTTTTGGTTTTGAAAACTCTTTTAAGTTGTAAAAATTGGTTTTTGAAAGAAGAAGGTCTAACCTTATACACATTTGTATTTGAAAATAGAGTATTTTATATCTTTTTCCGAAAATTGGCAGATTTTCTTCTTTGTTACTA